CCAGGAATGCTTTCTGAGATGCTGGCTTTCCACATGCCTATCTGAATCCTACAGCAACTCACTCTCTCTGATGCAGGGCTGCCGAGATGCCACAGACCGGCTGCCATGGAAACATTTGTTTTCATTTACTGGTGTCCTGCACGGTAAGAAAGTCTGAGTGGTACAGGAACGGCGAAAGAGTATAAATTACCAATGGGCTCAGAGCTGAGCCTTTGAAAATGGAATCTAATTATTTTACCGTTATTTAGACAGATTATGTTATAGCTTTCTGATCTCACTTTGCGATTAAGAACATGTATACGCTTAGAGCAGCAGCGATGAAGGCAAATTCCAACCTGTTTTAGGAAGACACTTCAAATTAAGCTACATGTAAGGGAGAGGATGACAGCTGGTTCCACTTGCATCTTTTAATTAAAACGCAGTAGTCTAGATAACAGAAAATTGAGATGGGGCAGAGAGGGAAGAGAAGGGAAATAATCCTAGAAATAGCATGATTGTACTACAGCACTTGAGGACCCCTACTTAAAGTGCAAGGAACCCAGAAATAAGTTATTTCTGCTTGTTTTCTTGTATCTTAGGAAAAAACTGAAGTAGCACATTCATTGTCTTTTTTAAGGTAATCTGAAATCAATTTGCAGTCTTGGATCTTCATTTATCTTTGGTTCTTCAAACCACCAAATGTAAAGTATAGGTCTAGCTTGCTTAACAGAGAAGTCCTCAGCACCCCCTTTGCAGTGCTGTTTGGGCCCCAGCTGTGGACTTGGTCGCTTTCACAAAGAGCATTTCTGATCCCGGTGCTGGCCAGGCGAGCACAGTGAGCCGCCCAAGGAGAAACACTTCCAGAAGGAGCACACATCCAGGTGGAAATCACCCCTTAGCTCTCCTCTGAGCAGACTGAGCGCCCATTAGAAACCTCCAGCTTCTCCATGAGATGGGAGGACCACGTAGCCACCCTCAGGCTGTTTTTCTTTGAGGGAGTACCAGGGACGTCAGCGTACAGCAAATACTTCAGCTCCAAAAGCCAACAGCTGTCCCTGGACCACTGAAGCACCATTAGGCAGCCGTCCCACCTCTGAAAGGAAACACCCCCCGTAAATAAGCCCACCACTACCATCTGTAGGCTCCCAGACGAGAGCGGCAGTGGGGGCACAGACGGTAACACTTCTTGTTTACGGTTTTGGAGGAGAATGAACGAACAGGTTGGGTTACCTGCTTAACCGGGTTTTGGCTCATAATGTCTTACTGCATGAAAGACTTTCTGGGTCAGGACCGATAAAGCACACACTGCAGGGCCTCAAGAGAAAGCCTTTACCTGGCACTTGCTTAATATCCTTTCACCAAAAGGATACCACATTAGATGAACCATCATTAGCCTCAGCTTTGAAGTCAGCTCCACTACATTTTCGCCGGTAGAGACATCTCATGCAATATGAAAAACTCCTGGTGTCACAAATGCAAAGCACGGAACGCGAGAGAGATTGAAAGATACCGCAGAAGGCAGTGAAGATGCTTGGCGTTAAAAATGGAATAAGAAAGAGTGGCTTCTGAAACAAAGGCCACCAAGGGGATAATGGATTAACCAAACCTGCCTCAGAAGCATCCCAATCTGAGTACGTGCAATTTCAGCTGTTGGGTCATTAACTGGATGAACACATAATTGATAAGCTGTAGGTTGCGCTCTACTTGAGAGCAATAAGCTCCTTTAGATGCTATTAATATTTAACATATATAAAAGCATTTGTCATTTGCAAAGCACTCTACAGAGTAATGATAGATTCTGTAACGACCCTCAACTCCCAGACTAGGGAATGCAATTCTGGAGGGATAAATATCTGGCCCACATCCAAATCAAGATTCACTGACAGAGCTATTATTCTACCTCAAAATTAGGTTTCTAAGTTTCTGGTTCTTCTAGATTACGCTGCTTTGTAGCCTTCAGTGGATAGGAGCATGGCACTCAGACAGAGCTGGAAGACAGGAGCTGACAACACGGGATGACATTTCTGACTCACGTCCACCGACCACCACACCCCTACCCTGGGCCACCATCCTCACCGAAGATGCAGTTAAGTGGGTTAAACACAGGGAATGGAAATACTAAATATTTGATTACCAGGTGTTGTCTGCCCCTCTCCCCTTTCTTTTAAGCAATTAATCTTGGGGAATTTACTGATCTCCATAATTTGTTAGGTCTTTCAGTATACTTTTTATATACTTTTTTTTTCCCCCAGTTTAAACGGATACAGTAAAGTCACTTGTAGGTGATCCTCATATTACGATAGCATTTTTCTGAAATGTGAGAGAATACCTCTCATGCTGCAGCGCTGAGCTTCTGCGAAACAGCCACAGAACTTTGTTATTACCCCAAATTACGGCAGGAGAACTTCACCTTCAGCCCCCTACATGATTTCCTGAGATGTCTCCTGAGACAGACCCTCAGTGTCCCTGCCCTACTAACTCCCTTTGTATATACTTTTTCTCCCCGGGAGAAAAAGCATTGTGAAAGTCACATCATTTCTCTTGGCTGGACAGAGCATCCTTTTGCTGTAGCTCAACCTTCTGCACACGGGAAGTGGACTCCCCTGGGGATCTACCAAGCGTTCCCACGGGCCAGAGCAGGCTGTGCCAGAGAGGTACCTGCACTTCCATCCTTAATACACACAAAAAAGAGGGTAGATTTAGACTTGATATAAGGAAAAAATTTTTTACAATGAGGGTGGTGAAGCACTGGAACAGGCTGCCCAGAGAGGGTGGTGGAAGCCCCACCCCTGGAGGCATTCAAGGTCAGGCTGGATGGGGCTCTGAGCAACCTTATCTAGTTGGAGATGTCCCTGCTCACCGCAGGGCGGTTGGACTAGATGACCTCTAAAGGTCCCTTCCAGCCCAAATGATTCTATGATTCTAATATACTGGACAATACCATCTAGGAAGGATGCAAAATCTGGATCATCCATTTAAGGTACGTAAATGCACGCGTCACTCCAGCGTCACTTGCTCCCTGAAATATCTGTGCCTCCTAACTTCTGTTTCAATGGACCCCCATGGTCTTCTCATCATCACAGCCTTACAGCTTTGTCATTTGAGGATTCATCCTTTTAGGAGCTCTGTTCTCATCAATATGACATTCTGCCTAGGAAGTCTGATCATCTTAGAAGCAGATAAAGTGATTATTGATGACAGTTGATACAACTTCAAAATAAGTAAGTAGAAAAAATGTACACAAAATTTTTATTGGACACTATTCAAGAGCTATTCAGAGCTTGCAAAGCAGAGAAAACTGACAAGTAATAAAGCATGATGGCTTCTATATGCTATCATTTTGACACTTCAACTCCAACAGAGTCCAAGTTCAGTGAAAAAGTGAAACTTCCTAAAAGAAAGTATTATTCACAGCACTTTTTTTGCGTGAGTGGAAGTTTAACATAACAAATCTCCCTTTCTGCTCCATCTTATAGTCTCATAAAGCTCAGCCTGTTAGACAAGATTTCCACAGAAATCCTATTTGGTAAAATTTGCTTGCCTGTATTCCAAAAAGTGACTCACATTTTACAACCGAGTGGCAAAAGCTGAAATGAGTTTGACTCTTTCCATCAAAGCCAGTATTAGTCACTCTTCCAGCTTAACAGTTTGCATGTTATCCTTGACAGACAAAACTAGGACCACAGGTCAAGAAATGACAATTTAATAGTCACAACTTAATAGTGGCCAGAGAGCTATCGCTAGGAAACAACACAGGATGTGTCCAGTGCAATTAAGAGATACTCAACAGCCTGACTGCTAAGTTGCTGTAAGAGTAGTAAAAATCACAGCTCCTGTTTGCAGCTAAAGCCTAGCATAGCAAAACTTGGCCCGACCTGTAAAGCCGTGGTTAAATAAAAATCATAATGTTCCTCCTCACCTGCCACTCTCCAAAGCACTTAAAATGAGAGCGGCTGGAGGATGCAAAGGCTGAGTGCAGTCTGATTGTAAAGCCGTCAGTTTGGCTCCCAGTCAGGTACTCCTTCCCTCTGCCCTCCCTCCTTCTTCATGCTCCTGCAGGTTCCCCTTTCAAGCCTGTAGATTATTTCATCTCCACCTTTATGCCTTCCCGTTCTCTCCTTTCCTACCCCGTGGCACCCCACAGTTACCCGAAGGAGGGTTGGCTTTGCCGAGCCCTCCCGCACACCCCCTGCCCCTCCTGGGCGCTGCTCGACCAGGGCTCAGCCTTGCGTGCGTGGTCTCCTGACCTACAGCAGGTTCAGGACAGGCAGGCCCACTGCCCATAGACCACCTCAGGGACAATGGTGGAAAGGAGAAATGGGTCCCCTCTGAGATGCTGAATTTGCTCACTTTCTGCTTCTCTGTGACCTTCTGGAGTTGAAGGAGGGCAACCTCTTCACACGGCTCTGCCCACAGGCACAGACTGGTTCCTAAGTCAGAGTGCAGCAAAGACCACCCCTCCCAAAAGCAGGCTCCTGGCAGAGTCCCAGCAGGGAAGGCGAGTTTCCTTACAGAAAACCACCCGCAACTTTCTGCCAGTAACGTTTAGACACAGTTATGATTCACAGACATTGCGGAGAAGCACATCCAACTCCCCACACTCCCCTGGGGGTGTCTTATGCCCCCGCTAATTTCACGATGGTCAGAATTACTGCTTGGACAGTGACTCAATGTGAGTCTCAACTCAGCAGAGTACCAAGGAAAAGACAAGCCTGATGGGATCAAAATCCTTCTTTGTTTATGGGCTCTGCTGCCCATAATTCATTTTCTGCATTCTGTTGTGGCATGTGCTGACATAAAATTAATCCAAAGTCTCTGGCTGTTCCAGGAACTGCTCATGATCCCTCACCCGGCTCAAATCCGTGCAACGTCTTCAACCTCCAGAGAAAACAACGGAAGCATCTCTGTGCTTGGCACTGGCAAAAATATCAGGCCATTCATTCTTTTGCTTAAATTAGAAATCTAATTTCAACTGTTTTCCTCCAGACAGGATGAAAAAAAGTTGACAAAAAGCAATTTACCTCTACTTCACATGCATATTCCGATCCATCCAGGAGTGTCACTTTGCACTGCATATTTTTCGGTTTCTTGACGATCTTTAGAGGAGACTTAGAAAGTTTGCTAGACGATGACTTCTGAGAGAGCTTGTCGTCCTCTAGCTGCTGGTATTCCAGCTGTTTTGCACTCGCAGCAGCAAACTCCTGTTCTTTGTCTGTGGCCTATAAAGAGAAGGAAAGAAACTTTTTGAAGCGAGAGAAACCACTCGCGCCATGCAGCACACCGCGCACCCTGCACCCAAGCACTGAGGTGAGCCTAGTGTGGGGCCTGGACCAGAAAGCCCCTGACACAGGACAAAGGTTTCTTTACCCATTGAAAAGACTTCCTGTATTGCCCATATTCCTCCCAGCCCTCTCTTCTCACTCCAAAAGGTACAGAATACCTGTGGAGGCAGGGAATGCATGAAAATATTTCAGGCTTCTACTTTTTCCATAGGTACAAAATCCCTCTTGGATTTCTTGGGCCTGTTTTTCTGGTCTGTTGGAAATGCTGAATAATTGTTAAATGCCGAGATGAACAGATACTCCTACAGTTTGTTGACATTACTTTTAAGTCCTGTACCTATTAAATCATATGATGCTTCTGTGGTGTCATAGGGAACAGGAAAAGACCACCAGGTTTGCACTAATTTTGCCATCAGTGAGAAAAGAGTCCCCTGAATGAGGGCACGGATGTCCCCGTGACAGTGTGAATTCGCAGGGGGATGCTGTCGTGCCTGGGAGAGCAAAAGGCTCCCCAAGCACCCGAGCCAAGGGTTAAACAAACAGGATGGAAATGAGGGGCCACACAACTTTCATGTGCAGCCGGCTGGCTAATGGATGGTAAGTACAGGATGAGAGGCTGAATTGTGCTCTCTGCAGATGCCCGATAAGTCCCTCAACCTGGTGAGAAGTAGGTGCTATTTGAAACACAAATATACTGCAGGGAAAAGGGGCAAGAAGAAACAATCACGGTTACTTTGGCTTGGGTTTATCGGAGGGTCAGACCATTTGAAGAGTTACCGTGATGCAGCACAGCCCGTGGTCCTCTCCTCGGCATTAGATGAAAGCCAGAACAGCTCGACAGCATTTCACCCTTCCTAGCAACAGCACCGTGCCACAGTCATTGCCTTTCTCACCAGTTATGCCCCTGATAATCTCCAAACAAAACCTCCGCAGAAGTGCAGTAATACCTATGCTAAAGTTTAAATAAAATAAAATAAAATAAAAATAACATCTTTCTGTTACAGGAAAAAAAAAAACAAACTATTTTGGCTCTGAATGATGCCAGTGTAATAAGCAACAAGCATTGCTGGAAATACATTGTAAATTAATCCTCCAAGTCTGTTCCCATTCACTGTATATAATAAGCCTTCATGAGAATGGAGTAAATCCATCCAAAGGCTTTAATCTGCTTTGAGAGCAGAACAACCTTGCATCATATAACCAGCAACAACAGCGTACCACTAAATCACAGGGAACTTTCTCCGGGAGATTTCACACAAACAAGCCATAAGCTTCCCCTCCACCTTCAGGTAAATGGAGGAAAGAGGAATTTGGAATCAGCTCTGCTGCCAACAGCACCAGCTCCCACCAACGCCCCAGCAAACTGCAAAGAGGCAAGGCAAGGCCCATGCTCCTCCTTTCCCTGCGAGAGAAGACACGAAGACACAGCAAAGGTCTCCTGGGCTTCCCTGGGTGGAAGCGGGACTAGAAAGATAAAAAAGCAACACAAAAGCTGCTTTCAAAATCCACCTCATCTCCTGAGCCGTGGATGTTCTTCCCCGGGAGCAGCCCAGGGTCCATCAGCTCTTCCCCCACCCAGCTCCAGCACTGGAGGACTTTCTCCTTCTAGCACCTGGACACCAGCTCTGTCTCTGGATGTCAAGGTCCCTGCATACCTTGAAGGCTGGCAGGAGATGAAGGCAGAAGCATATGTCAGCAGATTAGCTGTTCGCTGAGCATTTAACGCTGACAGCAGCTGTGACGAAGGGGAAGAGCCCCCCAGGCTCAGAGCAAGGCTTGCGGCCAGCTACCCCTCTACCACAGCCGCGGCCAAGCTGGCAAGGGGTTCGACCTACTGCACCGAGGGCACGACGAGATGGAAGATGTCTCCTTTTCGGGCCTCTGTGAAGAGTTGCACTGCTGCTGATGGGCAGAGGGACTCTCTGATGATTTCCATACATTTTGTTAAAGAAATCAGCCATGGGAGGTGGCAAAAGTGGTAGAAACACACTGCCATTGCCAGCAGCTTGTCAGGTTTCACCTGTGAGGGTTAATATGCGCCTCCCCCCGCCCCCCCCCCAACAACAAAAAACAACGAACAAAAAACCTAGATGCATAGAATTCATCTTTTTAAAGAAAAGAGGAAAGCTGCTGGAGAGAAAAGCCCACAACAACAAGGGCACCCAGCAGCCATTTAAAGTTTAAAAGTAACTTTAGCCTACACACAAATTCTATGAATCCTTATGGATTGGTGATTACTTTCCTTCACACAAAGATGCTTGGTAACTCAAGACTACAGCAGAAATTTGCCTATTTATAGGTTTGGGGTTTTTTTAAATGGTATTGAGGTTATTGAGGTTCCTGTCTACATTAAGATCAGGGGAATGTGTCTAGGTTACCATCATACAAAGGATTTTCTCTCATTTGTCTAAAGAACAAAACATGCCAAGAACTATTAGAGAAGATCTCCCAAACTACACTGACATGTTCAGGCACTGAGGTACTTTCAGACTGTATTAAGCCTCTTCTTCCTAAAGAAACATGACATCCTGGTATCTAAGGGAAAAAAAAAGGCCAGCGAAAAACCCGGGTATGCAGTGATTTATTTTGAACTCTGCAAGCATAGTTGCATTTCCTCCTGAATTCTTCCCCAAGATCCCTCTGTGCTGTATTTCTGCAGTATTTTCAGTGTCATGGACTCAACTCAGTGCAGCACGAGTTGCTTAAGAGTTTGTGGTTTTTGAACAGAAGCTGTCTCATCTCTACCTAGACTACTGCACCTTACCATGACACAGTACGTTCAACCCCTTCTGCAGCTGGACCCCCCTCTCGAAGTAAGCCTTTGGAGTCACAGCATTCAGCAGTAATGATCTTTGACGCTTCACAGCTTCTCACTGGGGTATGAAGTGATATTACCAAGCTTGCACAACGTGTAAATCCCATCTACTTAAGGTAGTTGCTCAGAAATGTCAGTGCCCAACTCGTGCGGTGCCTTCTTGCTCATTTTCAACAAGATAGGAAAGCAGGAAGATGGTAAGATTGCCTTGTTATACCTGATATAAAGGACTCATTTCTGTAGTAACTGCTAATCTCAACATGAAGCAGCCTTTTTGTCTTCATTAAAATGTTCTTTTTTATGGGTATAGAATGACAACAAAAAGTCACTGTCATGAATCTGTAACTTACATCTTTCTGCCCATGGTTCTCTCACACGAGCGACAGCAAAACCCATCAACTTCCTCACTGCGATCAATGGCGGCAAGAGAGAGAAGGATCCCCTTTACTCCTTTAATTTTCGGCTTTTCTAATGACACCATCGCCAACAGCCCTGTCTCTTAGTGCTGCACTTAAGCGGTACTTTCCTGTGATACAGACACTCAAGCCACTACGAAATACACTGGGCAGATCCCAGCAGCCGGATTTGGCAGTCAGCTTACAACAGGAACTTGCGGATTCAAACTGGTCATCTCAATGGGAAGGTCTTGCATCCTTCACTAACCCAGTTGCTCTACCAAGGCTTCTGCAGACACCTGCCCACAGGAGATCTTCTTTGGGAAAGGAAGGGATCACGCAGCACATGAGTGCATCTCAGAGCTCCAAACGCACACCTCCATCAACACAGATGGACAGGTTTGGTGCCCAAGGGCTTGTTTTCGTTGCTGTTGTGGTTATTTTGGGGTTGGTTTGTGTTTTGGTTTTTGTTGTTTTTTTTAAAGATGAAAAGAAACTTGAGGCGGAAAGATTACTGAAGATGTCTGGAAGAACAAAATTAATAATACTTATGCCTAGGCCTGATAGAATTACACTTTAAAATAATGACCAGTTTGTGCAGCACCTTTCTCTTTTTGGACAAGCAGCCCTGCCTCTTTTCCCCAAACTAACTACAGGCAATTCTGATCTATTTCAGAGACCAAAATTGTCCCAACACATAATCGGTGGATGTGGGAGCAAGAGCAGAGAGGTCTTTGGTGGGCATGGAGTGAGCCTGATCAAGCATTATCCATGGTAAAAATGGTTAGCAATCAAAAAAATAAGCAGTTCTTCCAGTGGTTGATCTTCAATAGCAATAGCCACCAGAAATCCTGCCCTGTCGTGTCTACCTCTTGAGATATTAGAAGTCAGACATGATACCTCTTTTAATCTGGTCCCAGAAACATCTGTTGTCCCAAGCATTTGGGTAATGCACCCGTAAACAAGGAAGATATGAAATTGCTTACACCCCCATTTTTTCCCCACCACCAGCAAGTTTGGGCTGTAGCTCTGTGGATGAAAGCTTAAAACCCAAGACGACAGCCAGCCCCAAACAGCTCCTACAGGAGCACTCCCGCTGATTTTAAGTAATGCCTTACATCTGCTTGCTTCACCAGCACTGTCTCCCAACTAGGTAAAGTAACAGGACCCCACTTCAAACAATCTGATTTTTTTAAAGGGTGGAGGAGAGGAGGAGTTAGACCGATTTATTCCACTCTTCAAAGGTGAATGCGATCAGATGGAGGTCATAACCTTACGGAACTAAGAGATGCGATTTGCAGGTACCTCATTAACTGTGTGTCACTTACCCACGAAGAACAATGCCTGTTAATCCTATTGACTGGAAATTATTAATGGGAAAAAGCAAGCAGCTTCCACAAATTTAATAAGTGCAAAAATGAACCAAATGGAAAAGCATGTGATAGCTCTTCTGAAACCTATTACATGAAAAGTTAAAGTAATTATAATGCAGTCATTTCAGAACTACGAGAAGCTTAAGGAACCACGGATTCTTCATGGCTCACGCATCAGACAAGCAAGCATGAAATCAGTTTTCGGCAGGTGTCAAAGAAGAAATGAACTCTGAAAATATTTTCAGCTTCTTAAAAATTGGCACTGTTTGCTATCTAATGCAAATGCAAGATCAACGATGTTTCCTGCTTAGTTAATAGGACTGTCCTTATATGTAAGCACTGGAGGCAGAAAGACTTGACGTGAATTTCAAAACACTGCGTGAGAACTATTTTTTAAACACAAAAGACTAACCAGTCAAGATCTACAGCATCACACCAAACAGCCTTCCACACGTATCTGAATATATATTTCCACTCCTAACACATCAGGCTCGGTATTTCCCAGGAGCAGTAAGTGGGCATGTTAGCTGGTTGCGTGCTGCAAGCACGGGCTCCCTTACCTGCTCCTTTTTCACCGGCGTGCTGTGGGCTGCCACAGCCGAGAACTGCTCGAGCGCGGTTTGCTGCTCTTCGCCAAGCTGCTGCTGCGGCTGCTGGTCCTGCGGCTGGGTCTCCGCCGCCCCTTGCTGTGCAGGGCTCTCCTGCTGATCCTGCTCTTTATCCTTGGACTCAGAGTCCGATCCCGATTCTGTAGTCATGGTTGGTTATTCTGCAAAACAAGGTGAGCAGACGTACTGAGTACGATCTTGTAGCCGTGAATTTGTAAGCTAGGCTTACAAAATGGAGAAACATCAGGCACAAAGTTTGAGTCTTAATATGCTCAGCCTTTACAACTAAAGCGGTTATTACACTGGCCCAACGAGGATCCCTAGGAAAGCTTCTCTGGTGCAAAAGACCAGGTCTAAATGCATCCATACTCTAAAGAAGAGCTCATCGCCATAAAATCTTATAACATACAGACATTATAGGACTTAACGTTCACATTAAATACAGACATACAGTTCTACATAGTTCATAATTCATAAAAGGAGAGTAACACACTGAGAAAAGCTCGTGTGATTGAGGACCCTATATCCAGCACAATTCACCGCAGTCTGGGTTTCTAAACCACATGGGAACTTTTGAAAACATTCAATCTTTTGTTCTTTGCATTAAGGTCAACAAGGCTTGAACTCCTCAACACCTGCACTCCCTTTTGGAAATGGACTCAAGTACTTCTGATGCTTCCAGGCAACACATACGCTAGAAACATCTGAAGTGGGCCCACCAACAGCAGTGCAAATGTACCGCTGTCCTTAAGCCCAGTTCTGCCCTTCCCACTTGAATTCCTCCACACTTCTGTCATTTCTTTCTAAGTGCTAGAGCATCCAAAAGAAAATACTCCCATTAAGTCATTCTAAGCATTAGATTTAAAATAAAGTGAATATGATTTTCCTTGAATGTCAAAAGTCTATGTTTGACCTTAACTTTGTCCAGTACTAAATCAACAGGAAAATATTAGCACTATTCATTCAAAATCTTAACTATTTCAATTAAATAGTTTTGTTACAAACGTGTTTGGCACCCAATTCTCAAACTGCATACAAGCAAACCCCAACTTTAAAATACTACTGTGATTTTGCATCAAAACAAGGATTTGAAAAAGCAGGCTCTGTGCCAGTTGAGCAAAGAGAGTGTGCTTTCACGTTCGTTACTCCTACCTTCTTAGCCCTCATGATCTTATCCTTGAGCCTTTTGCTTTTAAGCAACCTGAAAACAAACCAGCCTGCTGCAATCTATTTCTGTGCATCATCAGGCCATGATTTCTTTAACCTGGTAACCATAGCTACTATGTAATTGCAGGCAGTTCCACAGAACGTACATCTGCTAATTCATCTTCCAGGAAGTCACTATCAACTCTTAACATACACTACAATGTTTACTACTAGAAGCAAGTTTATTAAAGATCACAAAAAAACACACAGGCCTTTTTTCATTTTCTACTTAAATGTTTAATAAGCTACATTGCTTGAAAGAAAATGTTTTAAATGAGGCCAATTACTATTTTCCAACTCACTTATGTATTCTGCACTCTCAAGGCCAAGTTCTCCAGCGAATATCCGTCTCCGAACAGCAAGCGAGGGCACAGCACCCAGCCCCTGCGCAGCCTGGGTGCCGCGGGGGCAGGTTCCCACCCCCTGCCTGCCAGAACAGCCCCGCAGAGAAGCAAGAACTAGAAAGCATATACGGCAGATTTATGCTTCAGGCCACATTTTCAAAGTACTAACATGTGCCACCCTTGTTTAGGAATACATCATAGATGTCTACACTCAAACTGGCGCAGTATCTCTTAAAACGTATCGTTTAACAAATTGTCCTTAGCATCTACAAAAAGCAGTAGTTAATTCACGTCTTTTCAAATGTGACAGTCAGAAAGGTATTCATCTAATCAAACTTCAGATGTCCACATCTGAGATGGCCACTTTAAATGCAGAGGAGAAAACCAGGCGTTTCAGAGAGCGAATCATCTGACCTATTTTAGATGCCTGCTTTAATCTGAGAGAAATCACATACTAGCGTGACTTCGTCCCCCTCGCTCTGAAAGAAGCCTAAATAAGTTCCTCTGATGTAGATCAAACCAACCCATCCTCTATCGTCAACCCTATTAATTTTTGTATGCTTTAAAAATTAAATTGCAGAACAACGCTAATCTCTCAAGAGTTTTGGTTTGCCCATCCATCAGATCCACACGGAATAAACTATTCTTCATCTGATGCTATTACGGTTGCCTTGCTTTAGAAGCACCCAGGTCTCCACAAACTTCACAAGTTTTTCCCCCTCACTCTCAAACCATGTTTTGTACAAGCGTATGAAGATATGAAATGCAAATTAATCAAACAATTACTTCAATAAAATCGAACTATGTATTTGATTTTCTTTTCCAGAAACTATGAATTAGTAACTTACAGCTACAAAAATCATTGATCAAACACCACCAAACAGCACAGACGACCAATACAAAGTGCAATGCGTGGAAGCCGTAGTACAAAGTCTTTGACTTTCCCCCCCTCTTGACAGGAGTTCGAGCAGTGTAAAATGAAAGCAACCATCATACTTGCTGTTCGGAAACAGTCACCCCCAGTACCTCGAGGCATTAATCTGTATCGGATCAGACCGCCAGTCGATAGGTATCGAAAGTCTATCTTCCTTCAGCTGCCATCCCTGCGTCCCTGGAAGTTCATTTTTGCCCCCGATGTAGCTTCTCCCCTCGTGAACATCTGTATCCTGGCTGTTTGTGAGCATGGCAACACAGCCATTTTAATTAGCCCCATGAAACACAACTTCATGTAGCATGAGATGAAAACAAGTTTTACCTTTCTTGCCAGTTATACTTTTGCACTTCCAGGAACAACAAATGTGGTTCTTAACTTCTTGAGGGACATTCCCGCAGGAAGCAGAGCCGTACAACGCTGGGAGTCACTCCCCGGGACTGCCTTTCTCCCCAGCTACACACGAGTCCTCGCTTGCTCTAAGAGTGCTTTGTTAGAAAACTTTCTGTGCGCTATCAAATCTCTTAGCACGAGCGATTCCCTGGATACAATATTCCTGTCATTAGTCAGGCAGCAGATGGGTTTAATTAACCCAAGGTTACCCATTTCCAAATGTCTCCTTTATTTCCCTACGCATACTAATATGTTTAATAACAAATACTGAGCACAAAATACTATTGATTTCACTCTGTTATCTTACAGATGTAAATAGAAGCAAAGCAAACCCATTTTGAATCCAATTTCTTACAAACTCCTCAGATGATCCTATTGTTAAGGTTTATCTCATTCCACCTAGTGCAGGTTGAAAATACCGAAATGACAAGACAGAACACAACATTCCTTTCTCCGCGCAAACCAACAGGTTGTTTTGCCTTCCTCGGCAAACAGCTGCTTATCCAGACGAACTCTGAAAGCATTTCACGTTTTATAAATGGCACAATAATCCTTCTAGGAAGAGGTAGTTCCACTTACTGGAAGAAATAACAGTAATCTTGAGAAATTTAGCAACATAAATATTACTCTACCTTTGTTCGCACGCAGCAAACCTGACAGAATAGTTAGTAGTGTCTACACATTTGTCAAACGCATGTAATTGGCTGAGAATTTCTTATTCTTATTTTATTAGCTTATTTACTATACCTGGCTAATTACCAAAATCATGACCTCTAATGGGAATTTCAGTACAGGAAGAAAGAAATCACTGAAGTTCCTTAAACTCTTCCTGTTGCCAGCACAACTCCCGTATCAAATTCCCCTTTCCAGCAAACAGCAAACAAACTAATGAAAAGAAACCAAGAGCACTACCTTATAGAAATGAGGTAATACTATGCAAGCCAGATGTGCTCTTGGATAGCTAAGTTTTGGCTTACGACCCAATACTCAAAGATTCCAGAAGATCAGCCGAGTCCAAACTTAACACAGATACTGCTAACACTGCATAGTCTAAGGCTACAGTCAGTTTGGCTACAGAACTCAATCAGAGTGAAAATCAAGTCTTTTGATTAAAGGAAACAAAAAGAAGCCAAGAACTAGTTTATTTTAATCCACTACTTAAAAATTAAGTTAAAAATGTATGTACTTTCAGTAGTGTAAAGGTTTAAAATGTGTTTGAGAGTGCTGCAGAAGAATAATTAAGGGAAGATAAACATTAATATACTATCAAGGTATTAAAACACAACTTAAAAAACTACCTGATATATTTCAAAATAATGTTCGTTAGATCAAATCACAGAAATCTTTTCATGCCCTTACACTACACCAAGTAACGACATCACACATGGATTGCAAAACCTGCAAACCACTTGTGCAAAAAGCCAACATCCTGAAACCTCCCAGCACATCCAGTCCTTGTGCCCTACAGCCACCAACATACTGCGGCTCGGGAGATTACCATTTCCATTTCCGATTACTTGCTATGGCCTTAAAGCACATAATTTCCTTTTCTCCATATGGGAGCCAAAATCGCGTTGTCCTCTATTAATAATTCTCTGAGCAGGCAAAGCCCAGGCTACATCACCTGGTCCCCTCCAGCAAGCAACAGTCACTGTCTACTGTACACATTCATACCTTCACCAAGGTACCGACTCCTCGCCTCCCGTTCTCAGAGCACAGACCTTCTGGGTTGCATCCACTGAGCAAGAAAATTCACAGCTAACTGACAGCAGAGTCCACAGTTTCATTAACCCAGCAGCCATTAATAAACCTTTATTTAAATATAAATACATGCTAGTGAAAATATCTGCTGTATTAAGCAAACGGAAATCACATTACAGAAGAAATTACAAATTAATTCCAAATGAATCTTGATGTAATGACAAAACAAAAGTGAACCAAGCATAATTAAATGAACTGTACATAGCCACTATTTCCTGTAATGCACAGATTTAACGATTTACATTTAAATGCTTCTTTGATCTAATTAATTCTCTTTGTGGAAAGTTCTCCTTTAATTACAATACTTTCTGAAGACCGTTATAAATCATTGCAAAGGTCCAAATGTGGAAGTTATGTAACAAAATAATGATTCCATACTTCAAAAATAATGTTCCACATAACCAGAGACATATTTATCCAGTAATGACGAGATGCTGATGGGAAGAGCATATGGAGAACAATATTGCTGCTATGAGCAGTAACAGAAATGTCAATGTATGTTTCAAGAAAAGAAT